CGGCGCGCATGCGCGCAAGCGCGGGTAGATTTGCAAACAAGGGCGCAAAGCGCGGCTCGGCCCGCAGGTCCGCGTATGCGGGGCAATCAAGCAGAGCATGTTCACTGAGTGATTAAGCTGAGGCAGCCTGTAACTGGACATGTGGTCATCAACGGAACGCTCAGCACACTGGTTGTAAGTATATTCAGAGCTGTGCCTGTCACTGCGTCGCACGCCGAGAATTCGCCGCAGGCATTTGTTGTGAAAGACGTTCAGCCGCTGCTCTAGAGCCGCTGGCAACGCCCAACATTCGCTGCCAAACAGCAGGACAGTGCGCACACACGTTTGGTATACAACTGACTTGAGCCCAATAGGGTATTTCCGGCTGGGCGTGTCCCAACCATACCGACCGAAACCTATGAACAGCAGCACCTGCCTTTGCAATGAGCATTGATCTCCGCCTCACACGTGCAGTCAGTTGTCACAAGGGAGCCCAGATGCTTGAACTGTTTCACTTGCTTCGCCTTTGCACCGTGCATGGAACAACCACATGCATGCGGCGTGGGAAAAGCATCATGCACGTGCAGGCAGGCAAGCAGGACAGGGGCAGCCAGAGTGTGCGTATTGCTAGCAGGGCCAGGGGCATGCAGGTGGCGGGTAGGAGGCAGGTGCTAGCAGACAATATGAGTCAGCAGGGATGGGTAGCAGAAGAATTTGTTGACAGAGGACACATCAGAGGCCATGATGGAGGAACCAGAACAGCAAGTAGAGGCTGTTTGGTGCAAGGCAAAGATTATTTGCACGGCTGCAGTTCGGGAGTACTCCCCAATTCAGCAAGTAGTTGCGGAGGCGATTCTAAAAACTTCAAACAAGCAACCCCCCACACATTTCAAAACTTAAAAGACAAGCAGGCCGGCCAGCAACCAGACAGGGAGGCAGACAAGAAGTGCCGCAAGCAGGCTAGATGGAGAGGCAATTGCCTCTCGGCAAGCAGGCGCCTGCCTGCTGGCTCTAGACAGGCAGGCAGGCATGCGGCAGCCTGCCTGAGGCAAGGAGGCAGACGATCAGCAGGCACGTTATGAGCAGGCAGCCAACCAGCTGTTAATCAGCAGAGAAGCAAGCAGGGTAAGCAGCAGGCAGGTAGACAGGAAGCAGACAAGGCGGACACGCAGGCAGGCAGACACGCAGGAACTGTGTTGCTAGCAACAGGTGTGCAGCAGAACACCAGATTGCAAAGCAGACAACTTTGTGATGCTTGCTCCTCTGGATCCATCAACTCTCCACTGAAACATTGTCCCATGAGTGCACTGATCCTTCCATTTTCAACAGTTTATTTTTGTGGTGTGTGGCAGTTATCCCTTGATTGTCCAAGTTGGAGCCGGGGTACTTGCATGGCCGCCAGCAAGCAATGACTGAGTATCTGGGCGCATGATTAAACATAGGGATGTATGGTTGTGCAGGTTGATTTTGCTATCATTGGATACTCCAGTTCATGAAATTGCATAGATGCGCAAATTCAATGGACTTCGTGCATGACATTCACAGAATGAATAAAGGCGCGTCTACCGCGATGTGCAAAATCTGACTGAGCATGATGGTCAACGAACACGCAATATAAAAGCGCACCGTCTGGCATCGATATCGATCAGCACATCCGTGTCAACACTTGCCGATACGCCTGAGTCTGATGACCATGTCGGGCAGCTGCACTACTGTGCCACCTGGCAGTTACTCACAGCTAGATGTCGATATACATGGGGTTGTGACTTAGCAGCCAGGGAGGCCAACCTCTCAGCCGCACAAGTACTGTCCTGCGACACCTTCCCCTGAGGCGCACGCCTAAAGCACGCGGCCCAGCAGGCCGCCAGACCCCTCTCAACCTCTGCCCGTTGCAATCAAATGCCCCACACAACCCATTCGCTCCCCCCACCGGCCCCAATGTGCCCTGCCGCCAGCACTGACCCACGCCACCCCCCCCCC